TAGAGCCCCCCAGGAGCCCCTCCCCAGTGCCAGCCTCTTGTTTCCAGAGTCCCACCTCACCCAACCCCCCAGCCTCGTCGCGTACCAGCCCCCAGTCCCCAATATTAGCCCCATCCACAGAGCCCCCCCCCGTGCCAGCTCCTCACCCCAGATGCCCCAGTGGTCCCCAATGTAAACCCTCTGCCTTTTAGAGTCCCCCATCCTTTAGAGCTTCCTAGAACTAGCCCTTTCCTCAGATGTCCCCAGCACTAGCTCTGTCCCCGAAGCCCACAGTGCATTCCCTGCCTCCTTGCCTAGTTCAGGTCATGGCTGCCCTAAAGTTGCTGTGCTGGGCTCTGTGTAGCCCTCCCACCATGCAGCGCAGTGCTGTTCCATGTCCAGGAAGAGACTCTGCCCCAGCCCAGTGCTGGTTAGCTGAGAGGCAGGACAGGACACGCCTCTCCCAGCAGAAGCAGTGTACCCTAGCCCTCAAAGCCATCATGGCCTGACAGCCAGAGAGCTGCAGCCTGGCAGTGGATCAGGGATTGGGAAACGCTCATCTAGATCAGTGTTTCTTAAACTTTTTAAGACCAAGGAACACCAGACAATTTTTTTTTTTATGAAGAACACCAAAGATTTTTTGTTGAGAAAAAAAAAAAAAAAAGATCTCCAATGATAGAGATTCCACAACTTCCCTAGGCAATTGTTTCCAGTGTTTAACCACTCTGACAGGAAGTTTTTCCTAATGCCCAACTTAAACTTCCCTTGCTGTAGTTTAAGCCCATTGCTTCTTTTCCTGTTATCAGAAGTTAAAGAGTATAATTTTTTCTCCCTTCTCTTTTTAACACCCTTTCAGGTATTTGAAAGCTGCTGTCTTGTCCGGTCTCAGTCTTCTCTTTTACAAACTATACAATTCCAATTCTTTCAGTCTTCTCTCACAGGTCCTGTTTTCTAGAGCTATAATCATTTTTGTGTAATAAATGTGAAAGGAAATTAAAGTCTTCACTGTGTGTCCTATGTATTATTGCATGTATATTTAATCTTGTTCATGTGAAAACACTTTTTATTTGATTTGAGGTGAGGAGGAGGGATAGATTTTATTTTGTTTTGGAGTGGGTTTTTTGTATGTGTACATTTTGTACTTTAGTAGAATATTAGGTTTTTGGGTTGTTATTTTGCTTCCCTCTCTCCTCCCATGCACTAAAAGATATTTGGGGGGATATGATCCAAACATTAGTAGCCATTATGGAATGTTGTTCTTCTGCTTTGCTTTTTTCTTAGAATGATAAAGCCTAATCTTACACCCTCTCCAAATCCTGTATATAAACAGATTCCTGTGTGCAGAAAATTATATTTTTTCTCAGAATTTCCCCCTTAACTAAGCCACTCTCAATAGAATTTCCTTTTACACTTCACATTACAAATTTCTGGAGCACTACACCTTCCTTTTCCCACGTTCTCTCTGGTGACTATGGGGTTCAGAAATAATGGATATAAAATCTTATTGTGTTATACTTATTATTTTAAAATGACAGATTAAAAGCCATGAAACACTCATCTGAAATAATAATTATACACCTGAGATAAAACAGATTGGGATCTTGTAAATGGGCAAAAAGAGATGTAGGGCAGATCTAAAACCTTTTCCTAAGACTAATTGTGAACTGGTATGAAATGCTTCAATAGAAGGTATACTTGGGAACCATCCGGCCTCCTGAGATTGACCATGCCAGATGAGTGAATCAGAAAGTGCCTAAATTTGTGCATAACCAGGAAGGATTGGGGATGTCCCAAAAGATATCATACTTAATTCCCTGACTTATTCAGGCAAGATGGTTGGTATTTCTGTCTGATCGTAGTGGATATATTTTTGGCTGAAGCCAAGGAGAGAATTGCTAACTAGATGAAAACCAGGCTTGGGGTAAGGGGAGGCAGCCATGCTGATTGCTAGCACCTCCAGGTGGCATGTGAGATGTATGTTCCCAGATAAACTGTAATTGGAAGTGTACTTAGAAGGTTGCTTTCTCCTAAGGAAGCTGGGGTGTATGGGGTTGGAGCTCCCAATATGTAGAACAGATCCAACTGTATATGAGAGGATGGCAATGGGGTCCCAGCCGTGGCCTGGGGCCCTGTGAGAAGTGGTGCTAATAGCAGCTTTCTATCATGAAGGAGGGCTTCCCATAAAACTTAACTGCTAGATAGTTTTCAGTTGAAGTAAGTGAACAAAATTATAGCCTAGTTAAACCACATTACTGGTGTTTTGTCTTTCTTTCTGCACATCCAGGACAATCCTTTTGCTGCCCTATGGAGAACTCTATTTACTTATTTGAAAATGTAAATATAAACTTTTCATGCATGATTAAAATATGGCACTGGTGAGGTAAATATGTAAATAAATCCTTCCCAGACTGCTATTCTATTAAATATTTTCTTAATAAAGAATATTTCCAGCTAAATAATCTTAATTACATAATGAAAGGCTCCAGCACTTGCTACCATTTGTATCTATTCATCTCTAAGGGTGTGTCTAGACTGCAGGGTTTTGTCGACAAAAGTGGACTTTTGTCGACAGAACTATACCTGCGTCCACACTGCCTTTGAGTTATGTCGACATAACATCGACAAAATTCAGCAGTTTTGTCGACGTATGTAAACCTCATTCTACGAGGAATAACGCCTTTTGTTGACAGAGTTCTGTCGATAGAAGGCATTATTGCATCTACACTGTCCTTTGCGTCCACACTGTTATGTCGACAAAGCAGCTTGCTTTGTCGACAGAACTGGATGTAGTCTAGACGCTCTTTGTCGACAACTTTGTCGACAGTATCTGTCGACAAAACTTCTGTCGACAAAACCCTGTAGTCTAGACGTACCCATAGATGTAAAGATGTTTAGGTTTTTGTAAAGAGATGTAATTCAATTATTAGAATTGGTTTTTTTTTATGCATATTAAATTACATCTGTAGCAATATGATTTATGGTCAGTCAAATAGCTAAATTCTCTTAATTTTTTACATTCTTAGATTTATCAGGCTCCAGTTTGTAAATAATGTTGTAGTATTTAACAGGTATTTTACTGTGCACCTTGAGTTTTTATTTGGGTACGATTAGGATGTCTGGGAGTCAGCAGTCTTTTGAAGATCAGCAGAAAGCAATTGTCTTAGTGAATTAGACTATGCATTGAAACATGTTCTGTTAGTTGGATGTTCATGCTCCAAATTCTTACAGCTCATTCTGCCAGCACCAAGGAAGTATAAGTGGTATGCCTTTGTAAAGTTTCTGTCTTGTAAGTCTGTAAGATAGCTATCTGGAGTTCTGTACACATATTTACATGCTACACTATTTGCTCAATTTAGCCTCTAGATCTCATGGTAACTTTCATAGGGCAGTTATATAATCTTCATTTAAATATGTAAAATAGGGATAATTTTTTTTTACATGCTTGGAAATGTATGGCTCAAATGTGCTAAAAGTGACTTTCTTGAACTATGTGAATACAGACTTACTTTGTGCAAGAGGTCAAAGAGCAGCTGTCTGTTGTAACTAGGTAACTTGAGTACTCTCCCTCCCACCCACCCCCCCGCAGGCTTTTGCATGTCTGTCTGTCCAGTGCTCCCTCCACAGCACAAATCACTTAAAAAATGAAATGCATTTTTGTCAAAATGGACTGTTGTATAAACCAGCCGTTCTCAAAAGCAAACCACAAGGACAATGTCAATTACTCTTTTATTCATTCTGTTAAAATGTACTTTTACATTTAAGGTTTGAAACTGCATAATGGCTCAAAATTAAATTCCTTTAACAAAGAGAAATGTATTTGCACCTTCAAACAAAAGTCAAACTAGATGACATGTTGACAAGATTAAGTATGTCAAATATTCTGATTTTTCTTGACACTTATCTAATTTTTATATTTTATCAAGATTTCTACAGACTATAATGTATGCACAGTTGATTTAATCTTCTGTTTGAAGAACATTTGGTTTTGCAAATAGTAGTAAGCTGATGAAGTTGTTTTTTCCCCCTTTTTTTGGCAGATGGGGATGGGCAAACTGAGCATTTACTGCCAACCTGTGCTGATGCGACTTGTCAAAAAAGTACCATCTACTTATCTAAACCAGGACAGAATCAGGTATTCTGAGCTTCCATTTCCAGAAACAAAACTGAATACCATGTTTAACATAGAGAATAAGAAAGGCAACCCAGGAAAAAATCCAAAACAATCTTTTTGTCACATTAGGTTGTCATAAATAGAAAAAATGTTTTCTTTAATAATTGGCTGAAATTTGTGTTCTTGATAGAATGCCATCTATAGATCCTTAAAGGAAGAAGGAAAAATATTTACCATGGACTGAGTGTGAGTAGTATTATATATAGATATAAATTTCTTGTTGGATAACAGAATGACATCATCACATCATGTTGCATCCACAGGAGCCAAGCCCCAATCACTCCCAGCCTGCCCTCCCCAGGATCCCATGGGGAGCTGGGGCCATCTGCGGCCCTGGCCCTCCCCTTCCCAGGGGAGGGCCAGGGCTACTACGGCTTCGGCCCAGCCCTCTCCAGCAGTGGAGGGGAGGCGAAAGAGAGCGTGGCCTCAGCCGTGGGCCCTCCCTATCCAAGATGGGGTTTGGCGAGTGTAGCAAGCAGGGGGGCAGCCCCCTTATTCTCTTATAATGTCCAACTTAATTTATGATAGTCCTCTTAGATGGATAGTGGGAAAAGGGAAATGATTCCTGTGCCTGGGTTCACAACATCAGCGAAACCATTTTCTAACCTTGAAAGCAAAACTTAAATATTTCCTAATAGCATGGAATACAGACATTACAAGTGAGATAAGTGCATGCAGTACATTATAAAATTTAATAATCAAAATATTAACCACATTCTTATAAGACTAATACCTTTTTTAACAAAACTAACATACAGTGACCTAGTTTGGTTTCCCTCTATGAGTTAGTCAGTTGTTAGCTGATAGCTACAGCAGAGGCCTCAAACTCGCAGCCCATGAGCCATTCCTGGCCAGAGCAGTTATGAAATCTGGTCCAGGAGTGCCAGGGGGAGGGAGCTGTTAGTTCACGTCCCCCAACCAAGTGGTCTCCTTCTTATCACCGCTATGCTCTCTGTCCCCCATGGCACCCTGTCCACCAGAAGTTCCAGAGAGAGAAGGAACGAATGCGGCCACACCACCCCCTCCAGTAATTCCTGAGACTGTGTCCCCGGGGAATGGGTGCCATAGTGGGGAGAGAACTGGACAGTTGCCATGAGGGGATGAGGCTTGGGGGGTCAGCAATAGACTTCCCTTTCCCCCTTCCCCTTCCTGGTTGAGACTCCCAGGATGGATTGCACAATTGTTCCGGCTGAGCATTGCCCATGGGCTTTAAGTTTGAGACCCCTTGCCTATAGTCTTGGCCTGAAGTAGCACTGGTTTACCAGTATCATACCACCAATCCAAAATGATGCTTGAACTAAGCAGTGTAGTTGCCTTGGTGCTTTTTAGATGCCAGTTTTGAGTTGGAAAATTGGAAAATTCAGGGTAAATTCATTAAGTGAGTATTTAATCTCTTGTACTTATTAAATACATGAATTGTTTTACTGTAAACTATTCATTGGCATAGATCATATGGAAAAGAGAGAAATATTTGAGGTATCCTGGTTAAATAATCTGTTTTTAAAGGATGTCATTTATCACAAGCAGCAAAATATTTGAGGCTAAATTTTCAACAATGTTTTGCATCATTTACACACCTGGACAATGGCTTTTATTTATTTATTTATTTATTTATTTATTTATTTTATTTATTTATTGGATGCTAAGTCACGTTTGAAAATGAGATTCAGGTGTTGAAGTAGAGCAGATTGGAAAATGCACATTTGTTAAACTGAAATTTCTTGTAAATCCATTTGGGTTCTTCTGTCTCCGGATGTTGCTTGCCTAGGTAGCCAATAGTAAGCATGACACTGATAAGAACATGATTTTCAGTCAGCATCTCTTAGCCTAGGAACATAGTTTGCTCTAGAAAAACAGTCTCCAAAATAAATCTTCCTGTTTTTTCAGAGCATACACATTTTGTCATTTACAGTTGCTCATATATAGGAAAACAGAACATCCCTTATAAGGAAACCCGTTTTCTTTCTTGGAATAAACCACTGTCCTGTTTACCCCTTTTAAATATATATGTGTGTGTGTGTGTGTGTGTGTGTGTGTGTGTGTGTGTGTGTAGGTAGATAGATAGATATACAGTATTTATTTTTAAATTTTATTTAAAATTCTTCTATTTTGAAGAGTTTGTGGCTTAGTTTATGCAAAATAAACAAATATTTCACAATTTCCTACAGATGCCAAATTTTGCATAAACAACCCTTCCACTTAAATTAGCTGCATGCACCACTTTTTACACCAGAATATGCTGGGTGAAAGGTTTAAATAATTATTTTTGTTTATCGGAAACAAATCATGACTATTATGATTAGAGTTCATAAAAAATATTTGCTAACAAAATTAAAATCAAGTTGCCTATTCAACTCTCATTTTAGTGCAAAGAAAAATTTTAGGGCTGTTAATTGATATGCGTTAACGCCTGCGATTAACTCAAGAAAGGATTAACGCGTTAATTTTTTTAACACGTTAATCACAGGCATTAATGCTGCACTACCCCTTCGAAGCGCCGCTCTGGCACTTCAGAGGGGCAGGGCATTAGGAGCCAGGGATCAGCTGGAGTCTCCAGCTGACCCTAGGCTCCATGCAGCGCTGCTCCATGGCGGTGCTTCAAAGAGGCAGCGCAACACGGAGCCAGGGATCAGCTGGGCACTCCAGCTGATCCCCGGCTCCTAATGTGCTGCCCCTTTGAGGCACCGGGGTGGTGCTTCAAAGGGGCAGCACTTCACAGAGTCCAGGGTCAGCTGGGGACTCCAGCTAATCCTGGGCTCCCGCAGTGCTGCCCCTTTGAAACGCCGCCACAGCGTTTCAAAGGGGCAGGATTAACGTTTTAATCACTTGACAGCCCTACAAATTTTTCATGTTACAAATTGCAAAATAATTCAGATTAGTTACGGAAAGTGTAATGGACAGTTTACAAGTTTCTGATTTAAATTTACTATGTGTGTTAATTATTCAATTAAACAAATACTGTTTAAAGTTGAAATCCTAGAAATTTAAACAGTTTTTACTTCCCTTTTGCAAGCATATTCATTTATGTAATAGAATTCTTTTATTTAATTTCTTGAAATTTCCTATAAGTGTAATCTATGCAAAATTACTTTGTCCAGACAACGACCAGCCTGACCTGCCTATAGATTCATATTCCATGAAAAAATAAATAGAATAAATTAAAGCATGTAAAATGTTTGAATGTGTAATTGTTTTAGGACAATGTAGTACCAATGATGCCATATGGTGGAAATTAACAAAAGAATTGAAGAACTAAGTCTTTTTTATTATCTGCTTCATTGATTTTGTGTTTTGTTTTTAAGGCATACTCATTCTTTTTTGAGGTCTTTCCCTTTTTTTTCCTTTCTCCCCACCTCACCCTCTCCAAGCCCCTATTTACAGTAAAACCTGTGCTATCCAGCACTTAACTATCTGGAAAACTTTAGAAACCGGCAAATTTCCAAGGTTCTTGGCATGGTCCAGCAATTTGATCCGGCCAGCACGAGGCTGGGCTCAGCTTGGCAGCACACCGCTATGATCCAGCCAGCCAGGAGCTGGGCTGGGCACCTGGCAACCCCTGTAGCGCGGGGGTCACAGCTCCAAAAAGAGACTCTCAGATAACCGTGATTTTTAGATAACTGGAACGTCCTAATCCCTGAGTGTGCTGGGTAACACAGATTTTACTGTATTGAGAAACTGTACTTTTAATAACTCCATTCATCTGAAGAAGTGGGTTGTACCCACGAAAGCTCATGATACCATCTGTATTTTTGTTAGTCTTTAAGGTGCTACAAGACTATTGGTTGTTTTTTATGTTTCTTTTCAGTGAGGTGTTCTGCGTATAGATACTGTTACTTATTTGGTGTACACATATAATTCCCATAAAACTGACAGTCTATTTCTCATTTTCAGAGTTATTGTCCTAGATGTTTCAAAAAAGTCTTGCTGCTTATAATAACCAAAGAAATATTTATCAAAACAAATGGGCATATGGAGGCTAAACAGTTTTTTGAAAAACAAAAACTGAGGAATCTACTTATTGATTTCCATTTTTTTTCACTCTTTTATTTAGGCAGTCATAAATGATGTTATATATCTTCATAATAGTGCAGTTTTAGTAAATGGTATGTGTATACATTTTCTATTCAGAAACAATAACAAAACAACAAAATCTAAGGTCTATTCCTTGGGCCGTATTGAGTTTTGCTGGTGGCAAGACAAAAACATCTGTCCCTTTTATGCTTTCTCTCAGTCTTAAAACTCATTTGGTTCTGTTGCAAATATGAATTACCTTAGAACTGCCGAGAAGGTGTGTCTGATGGCAGTCCCAAGGGACCATTCCAGCATCCAGGGATAATTGGCATGCAACAGAACTCCTGTTACACTTGCTTCTCTCAGCTACATTTCCACGCAACTTCTACAGAATGTGCTGCAAGAATGAAGTGATGTTGAGTCAATTACACTCTACAGGCACTACAGTACCTGCGATTCCCCAACACCACAGAAATTTTTAATAGACAAGGTCAGGGCCATTGAGTTTCCTGGATGTTGTAATGGTTCCAGACCTATATTTTAAGAGCAACAATATAATTTATGACTTGCAACCATACTGTTCTTTTGTGTATTTATCTCCTCAGGACTCACCAGATTAGGAAAGCCAGGATTAGAGATATTTAAGAAATACCTATATGCTGTAGGTCATGATGCTAAAGCTCCATTAGGGTGATACTATTATGTTCTGCTGGGGGTGCTGTCTTTTAAATGAAGTGTAAAATGATTAATGAACATTAAAGTTTCCATGGAATTTTTCACTAAACTATGGTTGTTAACCATGATAACTTGGCTTCATATCAGATAATGGAATTATACTTCATATAATTATTGTAAAGGTTTATGTAGTGTCATAAATTTAAACAGCATTCTAAGGAACATAACTTAAGTCATATACCCTGTCCCAGAGAATTAACAGTCCCTCAACTGGTTCTAGTAAATGCAACAATAATAATCCTCATTTTGTAGCCTAAATATTAGTATGTTAGGCTGCTGTGTGCCTTTAATCCTTAGTCAAAGATACTGACTGTCCTCAATTCCTTTTGACTCCAGTGAAGGAATTGAGAGTGGTCTTAACGTCTCGCAGAAGCGGACTCAGGCCCAAACAGCTAGTCTTTTCCACTCCAGAGGCAGATTAAGTTATCCTTATATATTAATACCATCCCTCACAGGAATGTTCAAAGGGTTTTGAATTCCGTGATGAAAAGAGCTATAGGACATCAGAACAGTAGTAGATGTGAAAATGATGATCTGTTTAATAGCATCAATACTTTAACATGCAAAACACACTTCTAACTACAGCTATTTTTTTATTTTTTTCAGTGGATACCAGTGTTGCAAGACTTTAGAAATAAGGACACACTCTGGGGTTTTGTACCATATAAAAACAATCAATCCTCAGATGAACTTTCTATTCCAATTACTCTTCATATTGGAGATTATAATATGGATGGTTACCCAGATGCACTTGCCATACTGAGAAATACTTCTGGAAGGTATAGTATTTATGAAGCCAAAAATAAAAATATTTTCAAAGCATGTATCCAAATATCAGTTCATGCAATTTTTAGAATTACATTGTTTAGAAATTGTTTTAATCTTAGATCATCTTATTCTTCTTCATAAAAATGAATAGTTATTTATAATTATTAAGCATTTTCCCTTTTAAAGGTTTAAATTTTGCATGAAAAATGTAAACTACATAGTGGCATAGGGCCAGATTGTGGCTCAAAATGTATACATGCACAGAGAAGTTAAGAGCAGTAAAGGGGCTTTTTGATCCAGCATTCTCAATCACCAAGAAATCTTGTACCTTTGAAGAAGCAGTTGATTCAAAGGTATCTGTTATATTGACAGTAGTTGAGTATGTTCCAAGCTTAATTAAAGTCGGCCCTGAAATAAATGCAATACAATTATTTTTTGTTTTACAATTGGAAAAATAACTCTGTGTGAGGTTGGAACTGGGAAACTCTTAGGGTATAAATTTATTTTTGAATACCTACAAGCTTTTCTTGAACTTGCACTTTGTAAGTCTGATGAATTGCTCATACTGTAGCTTCCATCACCTGCATGATTCTCAGTGAGCACCTGATCACGGTGTAAATTTGTGTTCACTCTCCATTATGACTTGTGGAAACCTCAGCTCCTTTTCCAGTCTTTGAAGTTCAGCAGTCTAGTTTCTTTCTGTCATTTGTTTCTGATGGTGCTGAGGTTTTATGGCTTTGTCCTTGTTCTGTACGTTCAAGCCATCTCAACAATTTTCCTTGTTCTTTATCAGCTCTACCTATGTTGTCTGTGTGGAGTGTGGTGCTATAACAAAATATCTTCCCATATTCTTAAGACTCCATCACTTGTATTGGCAAGTTGCTTATATTTATTTGTTCATTTGGATATTTCATCCATATTGTGCTCCAGAGGAAACAACAGCACTATTCAATACTGGTAGATTTCAGTTCATATCAACTAAAGCTTCTCTGAAAGCCTTTGAGCCCACTTCACTGATTGCTTCCTTAAACAACTAGCAGTTCCCTTTCCTGTCTTCATCTTCGAATACTGGAAGATAAACTAGATTTGGTCTGGCAAATATCCCTTCTGGTTCTCCTTAGATCTGTAGTTTGAATCTTCTCCTCCCTTTTTATTTTGACACTGCTAATAGCAAACTGACAAAGCCTTTTTCTGTTGGTGTGTCCCTGCCCCTTAGGCACTTGTGTCACCCTCAAGAAGGTGTTCAGGCATTTCTTTTAATGTCAAAGACTGTAAATACATTTTATTATGGTTGTCGTGCAATTCTCTGCTCAGTATTTCCAGTTCTTTGTTACAAGGATGCTGTCTCAATATGACCCACACAGCCATAGCAGCATGACTATGTAGTATTAACAAGAGCCCAGTTCACTGGATTTTAGTAGTCTGCACCTGCTGAAGATGTCTGAGCTGGCACATAGTACTCCAGAAGACATTATGCCCAGTCTCTTACGTTCTAATTCAATTGTTGTACTTAGTACATATTTACTTCTTGCATATATGTACTTCAGGTTTTAATAATAAGTTTTAATATATAAAGCACATAATTTTACCTAATTATTGTATGTTTGATCACACAACAAAAAGATTAGAAAGAAACAGGAAGCAAGAATCAATTTCATACAAATCAGTAGCTCTTTACACCATAAAGTAGTTTCAAGTATACAGTCAGAAAGAGACCCTAGATGCTGCATGCACAGACAATTGTTAGTTTGCATTATCATCTCACCATCCATCTCTTCAAGCACTTTGGATAGGTGATACAAAAATCTTTCCTTCCCAAACTACTTTCCAAATACATCTGCTGTCATCACTTTCTAAAATATCTGTAGTATCTCTCACACTCAATTGTTTAGTTCTCTGTATTATCGTAGTACTAGAGAAGAAAAAAGCATCTCAAAGTCCCTGTAATACTTTCAAAAATCCCTACAATACACATTTTAAAAGCTCCATAAACTCAGATTATTGAGAGAGTCATGAAATCTAATCTATGTTAAAAGGAATTTTAAAAATGCATGTTATTGAATGTCTCAGGTAAGACTATATTTAGTCCTATGTCAGCCTGCTGTAAAGGCCAGTAGAATACTAGTATTTGCAAGTACTTCAAATTTTTAAAAATCCATCCATTTTGTTATCTACCATATTCAAAAGTTATGTCCACCAATAGTAGTTTCAAAGAGTATTCATTATAATAATTACAGGTGTATGTGTTTTAAACCTTGTTTTAAGTGGAGCTATGTGAACAATTCTTTTTTCTGTTTTCTGTCCTTATTAAAAGTGTGGGGAAAAATATTTGATTAAACCAAATGTTTTAGTTTACCAGAAGTGAAACATTTGAACTTTTTTGAGATTTGCTTTTTATTGAAAATAAAATGAAGTAAATTTCATAATGAGAAGTCATTTCACATTAAATAAAGTGTTTCATTTTAAAAAATGTCAGAACACTGCAATTTTTTTTTATTCGTAAGTGTATTTATTTTACTGAATCAGTTCAGTGAATTGGGCATTGATTTCCTTACTATTTTTGGTAAACCCAATTTTTTTTGTCCGAAAGCGTTTCACCAGGGGGAAAAAATGTCATTCCATTCCCATTATTCAAGTGCAGATAACTTTGCCATATTTAAAGCTTTTGTATATAAATTTTCCATGCCTGGAAAATTCCATGTCTTCTTCAGGTTGATTTTTTTCAAGAAAAAATGGTTTAGCCATTTCTGGGAACATTTGAGAAAAGTACAGGTTGAACCTCCACAGTCCGGCACCCTCAGGACCTGACAGGTGCCAAACCTGAGAATTTGCCAAACCACAGGAGGTCAGTGTTGCCTAGCAGCATTACCAACACTTCCACGCCTTACTAGGTTCTTAAAAGACATTTAGGGTGAATTAGAAATAAATACCAGTACAATACAGTAAGCGCCAGGATTGATAGCTGTAAACAATCTTTATGGAACCACAGGAAATATGGCCATACCCCTGATCAGCAGACATCCAGCCAACTAAAATCATGCCGGACCCACAGATGTTGCTAGAACAGAGAATGCTGGACTAGAGAGGTTCAATCAGTACATTGTTTTACCCCTTTTCACAAAATCCTTCCATTGAACATTCGTTAATACAATTGAGCAGAATTATTATTACTATTACACTGCCCAAAATCATGCTGTACATTACAAAACAAACTAAAAGGAAAGATCCTTCTTAGGAAGAGTTTATGGTCTCACTTCTGACATAATGCAAGGGAGGAGATAGATCTAAACAGTGGGGAAGAATAAGTTTAGAGGATAAGGCCTTAAATTGTGCTGATGCTTTTCCATTATATAAACTTACGTGTAATTAATAAATACATTTTAAAAGCATAGAGCAACTAAAATGTTGTGAAGACTTATTTTCATG